GACTCACGAAATACATGCAATGAAGCCAAATGCAGGACAATCATAAGCCAGTGGGTAGAAAGTCTTTGGTCCAGTGGCATTGTAAGCATCTCAGTGCTAGCAGAGGGGGTCTCTCTGTGGCTTCTCTGGCTTCCAAGGTCTGGTTGAGTCCGTTTGGCTTGTCTTCTGCAGTGTCTCCCAGGGAGTAGCAGAGAGTCTCCCACCTCCAAGGAGGAAATTACCAGATTTCCCAGAATTCTCAAGAGAAGGCTATGCCCACACAGAAGTCTCATTGGCTTTCTCCAGATTGACAGCCTAGACTCCACCCCTACACTCTTAATCCTTAAATTGACACCAGATTAGGTGACTACCACAATCAGATTTAAGGAGTTGATTTGGACTGGGCTGGGATGTTTTCTTAATATACAATTACCCTTTGATATAAAGCTCTTTCTTATTAAAAAAGAAAATGGATGATAACAGAATATGATAAAAAAATATCCTCCAACAAATTTGAAAATACAGAGATACTCTCTCTAACTAAAGTATCACAAACTGAAGAAGAAAAACTAAACAGATACACAAGAGAAGAGATTGTAGAGGTAAAAATAAAACAAACAAAAATAAAATAAATAAAACCTCGCAGCAGCGACAAAAGCCCTGGTCCTGACTATGCACTTTACTGGAGAATTCTGTCAGAGAAGAGTTGTGTTAGTCTGGGTAGACTAGAGAAATGAATTCATAGGCATTCATGTGTGTAAGAAAGAGCTTTATATAAAAGAGCAATTGTACATTAAGAAAACATTCCAGACCAATCCAGATCAAGTCCATAAGTCCAATATTCACCCATATGTCCAATACTAGTCCATAAATTCCTCTTTAGACTCATGTAGCCATGCAATAATGCCGAATGCAGGAAGATCACAGGCCAATGGGTAGAAAGTCTTGTGAATCCAGTGGCATGGGAAGCATCTCCGAGCTGGCAGGGGTCTCCACATGGCTCCTCCAGCTCAGGGCACTAGCTCCATGTGTCTTGCCAGCTGCAATAGCTCGTAGAGAGTGAGCATGTGTCCCGTCTCCAACAAGTTATTTATCTTCTTAGCGCTTCCAAATGGGGTCGTCAAGCTGCGACCTGACTGACAGGCTAAACTCCACCCCTTCACCCCTAAGTCTCAAATTGACAACAGATTATGTAACTACCACAAGAGTTCACACAATACTACATTTTAGAGGCAGTATAACCCTGATAGCAAAGCCATGGAAAGACACCATGCACACAAAGTAAACAAGACTTACAGATATCCTTTTAACAACCTGGGTTTGAACAGCACAAACCGATCATCGTTTGAGTCTGCTCTGACTAATTTCACTGCCACCCGGTTAATGCCAATTCATAGCGACCCTATGGAACAGGGTACAACTGCCTCTGTGATTTTCTTAGACTGTAACTTTCAAAAAAATCATTTTATTGGGGGCTCGTACAATTCTTATCACAGTCCATACATCCATCCATTGTGTCAGCACATATGTACATTTGTTTCCATCATCATTCTCAAATCATTTGCCTTCTACCTGAGCCCCTACTATCGGCTCCTCATTTTTCCCCCTCCTTCCCCACTCCCCCGAGACTGTAACTTTTTATGTGAGTACAAAGCGCTGTCTTTCTCTTGCAACTCTGACTCATTATGATCCTATATAGGTTTCCAAGGCTTTGTAAACCTTCAAGAGACCATATACCCTCATCTTTCTCCCTCAGAGAGGCTGATGGGTTTGAACCACCCACACTGAGATTAGTAGTCCCATCAGTTGCCTGATTGTTACTAGGGCTCCTTTGAAAACTACACAGGTTTGCTTATATGCTGATTTTTTTTAAATTAAATGCTGTGTGGTGTCCATCACATCCACATGAGTAGTTCACCTCTCTTATAAATTTTATACAGCAGTCAAAAGTGATCTCTCCAAGTCCTCATGTGTTTTGCATCGTGTTCTATGAAGTACTGTAAACCCTGAATAGTATCAGGGGACCCATACAAAGTGCCACTACTGATGTTGGAAGTGCTCCTAAGAAGCAGAGAAAAGCTATCATGCTACAAGAAAAACCTGAATTGCTTGATACATACTGCGCATTGTGGTTTGCAGCTGTGGTTGCCAGTTATTGCAAAACAAATTAATAAAGCGCAAAGGTCATTGTTGAAAGGGGTGCGTGTGATGCTGTTGATGAAGTTACACCAGCAGATGAGAAAAGTTTGTACTTTTTGTGAAATACTTTTTAATCTAATAATGAAAATGCAGCTTTCACATCGGTGTTATATATAACATAACATACAAAATATTTGTTAATTGACTGTTTAGGTTATTGGTAAGACTTCCAGTCACCAATAAGCTATTAGTAGGTATGTTTTTGGAAGTCAAAATTACACATGGAAAAAAAAAAAAAATTACACATGGATTTTTAACTCCACAGGGTACCACATCTCCTAACCCCTGTGTTGTTCAAGAGTCAACTATAGACCCAATCATTCTCCACGAAATCTAGCCAATAGAACTCAACATTATATTTTAAACAATAGCAAATCAAAACCAAGTGGGATTCATACTAGGTGCACAATTCTCTGAAACATTAAACACTCGTGAACATCAAGACTTCTCCAAAAGAGTATCAAGAGAACCTACAGACCTACAGCATTGGAAAACAATTAACCCACCCCCTAAGGAAAAGAGGCATATGATTTTCTCAACCATTTAATGCAGAAAGGGCATTTGATAGTGGCTAATACCCATCTCTTATAAAACCTCTGAGGAAATTTCTCTACATAATAAAGGACATTTACACAAAAGCAACAGCCAATATTATTCTCAATAGAAAGAGAATCCTCCTTGAGAATGGGAACCAGTTAAGTATGCCCTTTATCACTACTCTTATTCAACATTGTACTGGAATTTCTACCTAGAGCAATAAGGTAAAAGAAAGAAAGAAATAGAGGGCATTTAACTTGGTAAGAAAGAAGTAAAACTATCCCTGTTCACAGACTATATGATATTATTATTGATGTTAGTTGTTGAGTCAGTTCAAACGCATGTACAACCTATATATGAACCTATATATATAGAATAAAAGATGGCATAATGCTGCAGCATCCTCACAATAATTCCTATGTTTTAATCCATTGTCATGGAACTATGCATAGAAAATCCCAAATATTCCACAATAAAACTACTGAATCTAAGGGGAATCAGCAAAGTAGGATACAACTTGAACATGCAAAACAAAATCAGTTTGATTCTCCTACACCAAGAAAGATAACTCCAAAAAGAAAACCAGGAAAACAATATAAATTATAATACTTCCCAGCAAAGATAAAATACTTAGGAAAGACTTAGGAATAAATCTCACCTGGGATATCAAAGACCCATACAAAGAAAACTATGACATTGCAACAAGAAAAGATAGACCTGCATAAATGGAAAAACATGCCATGCTCATGACTAGAAAGACTTAGCACTGTGAAAATGTCAATGCTATGCAAAGCAATCAATAGATGTACTGTAATTCCCATCCAAATACCAACAACATTTTTGAAATTAGATGAAAAAACAAATAGTACCAGTAAAAGTAGACGTTTACCTGTAAAAAAATAAACCTGACCCATACTCAAAAACTACGTAAAATGGATCACAGACCTAAATGTAAAACTTAAAACTATAGAGATCAATGAAGAAAAAATAGGGACAATGCTAGGGGATAAAATATATAGCATAAATAGAATATCAACGAAACTGAAATTACTCAAACAATAGAAGATGAACTAGACAAATTGGACCTTCTAAACATTAAACACTTGTGAACATCAAAAGACTTCTCCAAGAGAGTATCAAGAAAACCTACAGACTGGGAAATGGTTTTGGCAGTGACCTATCAGATAAGGGACTAATCTCTAAAATTTATATGAAAATTTAAAACTTCAACAAAAAGACTAATAATCCAATTTAAAAATTAGCAAAGGACATGAACAGACATTTCACTAAAGAAGACATTTAAGAGGCCAACAAATACGTGAAGAAATGCTCACAAGCATTAGCCATTTGAGAGATGCAAATCAAACCGATGATGTGTCATTGCATCCTGGCAATAATAGCAGAGAGAAAAAGAGAAAACAACAAATAGTGGTGAAGATGTGGAAGGATTGGAACTCTCACACACTGCTGGTAGGATTGTAAAACTGTACAAGCACTATGGAAAATAGTAAGATACTCTCATAAAAAGTTGAAAATAAAGATACCATATGATCCAGCAATCCTACTATTTTATATATCCTAGATGGCATGGAGAGAGATGTGCTAACTCATTTTCATTGCAGCAGTATTTATAATAGCAAAAAGATGGAAATAACCTACATACACATCAATGGATATCTGGATAAATAAACATACTAATACACAATAAGGAACTATGATACATACACATGATTCAAAAATAAAGAATGATGAGAAATCTGTAAAACATCTCATAACGTGACTGAACCTAGATGACATTATGCTCAGTGAAATAAGTCACAAAAAACAGATATTTTATGAAGCAACCATTAAAAGTCAAGAAAATGTTTATATACAAAAATAAACATTTTATGGTTATCAGGGATGGGGTGGTGAGGTAAAAATCACTAACTACAGACTTGGGTGAAGGAAAAGGCAATATATAATAAGGAGGAGGTCAGCATGACATGAACAAGGCATAGAAGACAGTAGGAAGTACAAGGCGCCCATGGCAAATACTATTACATCTATAATCCTGCAATAACAGTAACAACAAACAACAGTTTATAAATGGATACATAGGCAGATCTGCCATGCAAGATGAACATGTATGGGACAGTGTATGAGAGTGCATTCATGAGCATATATGAGTATGTGGTCAGAGGATATATCTTTATACATATTTGTACATGACACAACTATATCTATGTATATAGTAGCACATACAGGGGACAAAGGATGAAAGTTTTTAGCTATAACCAAACACCATGAAGAATGGAACTATTACACTCGGCCTCACCATTACAGACAATGGTCCTGGGTATGCTTTTATAAAGGGAATAAAAGTTGATAGCCTTATTGACTCAGTTAAAACAATCTGTGTGGGAGATCATATTGAATCTATGAATGGAGAAAATATGGTTGGATCGTATCATTATGATGTTGCCAAGAAATTAAAGGAATTTCAAAAGGAGCAGCAATTTGCCTTGAAGTTAATAGAACCTAAGAAGGCATTTGAAGTAGAGCCAAGGTCAGAAGGAAAAATTGGTACTGGAAGTAGGACACTTAGACTACAATCTAAAGGTCCTTCCAGCATGAAGTAGGGCCATCTGGAAATGAAACAAAGGCAATGAAAAGATTGTTGACCTGCTTGATTTGCACTTGGGAATCCGAGATACTGATTTAGCTACCACGCTGTTTGAGGCTGGAAAGGGCAAAGTTCATCTGGACGAATTTGCGGTGGCACTTGATGAAACTCTTGGGGACTCTGCATTCCCAGATGAGTTTGTCTTCGATGTGTGGGGAGCTATTAGTGATGCCAAACGGAGACGGTTATGATGTGGAGGATCCATTTCTCAAGAGATGAACTATGGTCCATTTAAAAACAAACAAACTAGTCACGTGTAAGATCTGGCTTTATACCCCATTACAAACTCTGGCCTACTTATGTGTGTAGAGTACATTCTTTGAAGTATAATTTTGATTTCTGAGTACATTTTTTATATCTGGGTGCTTATATCATATACTTAGGATAAATTACTTAAGATTAAGATCAATTTTAATATTTATTCAAAAGCCTTCTTTGAAGTAAAATTTAAGAGCTATTTCACAATAGATGATGATTTTGTTCCTTACTAACACACACAGTTTGTTTTCCACATTATATATGGAAAATTGCACAGTTGTTGCAATGTCACATTATGATGCAATAGTTTTGTCACCTTTAAAAAAAAATCTTAATGCAATGAAAATTAACATCGGAATATTTATTTACCTGGTAATGTTTTTTTGTGATACTAGTTCAAACAGTTTAGGTTTAGAAATAAAATGTGAATTATGCCTATTTAAAAAAACCTCTTGATACAAGTGATGTATGGGTTGTTATAAGAGCTGTAAGAGCCCCCAATAAAATGATTTTTAAAATAACTGAATTACTCTGGTTAGGAGCTTATTCCCATCGTCTGGAGGACCGAATGGCATAACATCACTCACAAAGAGAATGTTTTACATTCTACCTTAACAAATAGTGACCAATACTCTTCAAACCCATTAAGGTCATCGAAACCAAGGAAAGTCTGAAAAAAATGCCAGTCAGGGTACCTAAAGAGACATGACAATTGACTATTATTTGATATGTTGGGTAGAAGTCTGGAACAGATGTAGGATATTAAGTTAAAGCTAAAAACAAACCAAGACCACATTTTGTCATTGAGCAGATTTTGACTTATAGAACTGCCCCTGTGGGTTTCTAAGATTGTAAACTTATATGGGAGTAAATTTTGGAATTTAGTGAACAAATAGTGGGTCGATATTGTTACATTAGCTATAAACAAATACCTCATACTAAATTAAGATGTTACTAATAGGCCAGGGAAACTAGATATGGGATATATGGGAACTCTACTATGTTCCCAGTTTTTCCTTAACTGTAAAAGTTCTGAAAAATAAAGTCATTAAGCTAAAAATAGTTTTATGAAGTATAGGAAGTGAAAATTGCTTTCTGCTGTCCTAAAGTCAGAAACCCCATAGCTAACTATTATTAAACTTGATGCCTATCCAAAATATAGAAAAAATATCAACAATATCTTCCAGTGTTGTACCCCAATGCATTATGGTTGCTATCTCTGGCCATGTACATCAGCAAAACTTTTGTCTACCTGCATGAGTAGAATGACTGCATACTCTAGTGATGTAGACGCAGTGCACCAGTGTCCCTGCTAAGAGAGCACCTGGCTATTAAACTTTGCCTGGCCAAAGCTGATTGGTCCAGTGCTAGATCAAATTCCAATGGGTCCAATAAAATTCTGCTCTGGGAATCTGTACTTCCCTAATAAGTCAACCCCAGGACCTTAAACTAGAAAGAACAAAGAGGTCAAGACATCTGTGCTTCAATGTTCATTGTGGTGCAGTTCACAATTGCAAGGAGTTGAAAGCAATCCAAATTTCCATCAACAGATAAATGGATTTAAAAACTGTGGTATAGACATACAATGGAGTACTATGCATCCCTAAAAAGCAGCGATGAACGCATGAAGTACATTGCCACATGGGAAGTACAGGAGGAAATTATGCTAAGCGAAGTAAGCCAAGCACAAAAGGACAAGTACAACATGAGTCCTCTGAGGTAAGCTTAAAAATGCAAAAGGTGGATAGGGGAAAAGCTACTGTATACATACATTCCTGGGGTGAGGTCCAGGTAGTATGACAGGGGCCATACTAAATCCAAGGATACATATGGTAGCCAACTTAAAAGGAGTGTGTGTGTGGAAAGACATGGGTAGTCGGGAACAGGGCACTAACCCACCTAAGGGGAGGGTATTGTTTATATCTCCATGGGAGAGGGAGAGAGGGGCCAGACTTCAATCCAGTGTACCAAGATGTGAATGCAATCTACTGGCATGAAGCAGGAAGCCAATAGAGAGGTCTGAGGGGCCAGCCCCAATCCCAACTACATGGACAGCCACTCCTCCCCCCCAGAAGAATTCACTTCAGAAGACAGCACTGAAGCTACAGCTCAGGGAGAGGGATATGTCTGATCAGAACACGTAGGAGCAAATGAAGGAGGAGGGAGAGAGACTGGAGCACATCCTGGCCCACCAAGCCCTGAGGATGATATTCCTGCTCAGAGCAGCCAATCCACAGAGAGGACCATAGAGCTAGCTCCACCATGAGACACGATGTCCCTCACTGACCCATATTGCTACAAGGGACAATACTGGAGACACGGTGTAGGAATTTCACCCGATCTGATCCCATCATATGGAGGCAAAACACTAAGGGCGTGCAGCAGAACAGAACAGCAAGGGGAGCAGAGCAATGAAGTCCCCGGGGAATACCAAAAATAGACTGTGAGGCCAGGGCATGGTACCCTATCAGACTCAATGGGAAAACACTCGTAAAGGTCAACAAACAGACCTTGAACTATTTATAGGCCTTTTTCGGTCATTGTTTTTTTTGTGTGTTGTTTTTTTGTTTTCTTTTGTTGCTTTGTTTTTGTCCCTCTGTCTTATTTTTGTGCATATTATTATCTCTGCATGTCTATCTAGATAAGAGAGGCGGGACAAACAATCCAGAGGAGAAAACAATGGGACCAATACTTTGGGGGGACATGAGAGGAGGTGAGGGAAAGGAAGTGGGTGTTAACAAACCCAGGGACAAGGGAACAACAAGTGATCTAAAATCAATGGTGAGGAGGGTGTAGGAGGCCTAGTGGGGCTTGATCAAAGGCAATGTAACTGAGAGGAATTACTGACACTCAAATGAAGGCTGAGCATGATAGTGGGACAAGAGGAAAGTAAAAGGAAATAGAGGAAAGAACTAGGAGGCTAAGGACATTTATAGAGGTCTAGATACAGGCATGTACATATGTAAATATATTTCTATCTGACAATGGGGAAATAGAGCTATGTTCATATATTTATAGGTTTAGTATTAAGGTAGCAGATGGACATTGGGCCTCTACTCAAGTACTCCCTCAATGCAAGAA